CCTAAAAAAGAGATGTATATATGTTTTGACTGTCACATCTCAGGAATATCAGTATTGTAAATTCTTGGGGGGTGACATTATCTAACCGAGGGATTGTTTTAAATATTCAATAATCTTTTTTAAAAATAAAAATAAAAAAAATAAAAATAAAAAAACAACTAAGGAAGTTGGTGATTGTTGTGTTTGGTTTAGCTTGTGCCAAGTGCTTAATGTTGTACGAGGGTGGTTAAGATTTTGTATTTAATTTGTTTTACATGCTAAAGAAGCTAACCAAACCCAATTTAAAAACTACAAATAGGATTTGGTTTTCATTCAAATAAGATGAAATTTAGACATGAGGACTCGTGGTTGACGTGTCAAACAAGACAACATTTTGCCACATTGTGGCACATTCCTTAGATTAAATAAGAATTAAGAATGTGGAGGGTATATGATTCAATTGGAATGGCTGGTGTGCATATTTATTGGTATATACAATGCGAGAAATTGAGTATCATACAGGTGTTTGACACAATTGCAGCCATCAATGCCAATAGCGGACGGCTGTGTCAACGATCAAAGTTCATAAAATTCGGTTAGGGTATAATGTTCATCCCGCCTCCTGCTGTTGAGATCTGACTACTAAGGTGATGTCAAAGGTAAGAAACTCATTTGCTCGCATGTAATTATCCACTTTTGAGAAATTTATCAAAATAAAACTATTTTATATTTTATCTATATAGTTTAATTTTGAAATACCCATCATAAGGTACATGATTTAAATCGGAATAATTGCGAAGTGTCGAACGATAAATAATGCAATTCTCACACCATTTAAAAAATTTACCCCTTTTTTTAGTACACGCGCAGTAGCAAAATTTGCATTTCCTAAACCCTAACTAGATGTATTTTGAGGAGTGCAAATGTTGAGAATGTGACTTTTTTTTTTTTGGGTAAGTTTATATAAAAGGTGACGTCTTTTTAGTGAAAATGGAGTCAAAGATTTCATCATAAAGCTTGTTGATACTACCGCTAAGACTCCAACCTACTTAACGTAGCAAACAACGACGATAGCAATAAAAACAACAATAATAACATAACCCATCGATTTAACAAAAAAAAAAAACAATTTCTATAAGGTTGCAACCTTAAACAATCCAATTATGCCCTGCAATTGCATATGGACGATCCAGTTTTTGGAAGAGCGTATGTAGGCACTCAGAATCTATTATTTTTCCAAAACAATACTCCGCCTAGTGATTCTAAAATGGTAAATCTACCCATGGGAGTCAAACGAATTTTTACCCTTATGCGAGAATGGTACATGCTAGTTATTTTGTGCCCGTTCTTTTTTTTGAGAGAGAGTCGTACCTTCCATCTTAGAAGGTAGATAACAGTTTCCCTAAATTATACATCATATTCTTATGGAGGAGTTTTCAAACATTTGGTCCTTGAAACTATCTAAGTTGAAAAGACATTGTGGACCTCATCATTTCTTCAGTAGTCCGAGAAATTAGAAGACCTTATTCAGCATAAAGTTGTTTGTATGGATCCACTCTGCAAGTGAGAGATGACCTTAAATTTTCTTTTAGCCCATCCCCTACCCAGGTATAGAGGCTGAATTGTGTTAGGTAGACAGCCAACATAAAATTTGCCTTATCATGATGATGGATCCACTCTGCGAGCAAGAAAGAAATCCACAGGGTGGAGCCAGCATAAACAAAGAGCCAACTATAAAAAATCACAACCACAAACATAAAATACATTTGATTGCTTTCTTAATCTGACAGAATTACATATTACAACAAATTACGTGAACGTTTCTTCCTTTACAGAGAAAAACAAATGAAAAAACAAATAAATATTCCATTTTGCCTCAGACTTATATATACAAACTACACCACAGGAGGGTAAACAGGATTTACATTTAAATTTGATTCTGCCCTTTCTATGGACCTCCGTATGCTCCATTCATGGCAGCATTCCAGTGCAAGACGAAGCGCAGTTCCAAGTCCAAGCACAACCAAAACACCTGCATATGCCCGTATAGACGCATGCAGATCTATTATGTGTATGCCATGTACATATGTATAATGTGTATCATGCATATCAATGACAATAAAATTTCATTAGTGTAGTTGTCTATGGATGCATACAGTGCAAATCAAATGATAATATCATACGCAAGCACATATATTGTAGTAAATGCCAATCATTAACTTTGCATCATCGAGTTTTCTACTCTTAGCCCAGTCTGCAATCAGAGAGAGAGAGAGGAAGAGAGAGGATACCAATTATTATGTTCACTGGCAGAGCAGAGATACCAAGGGAGATGGATATCAGCACATCAAGTAGAAGTCCTCCGATGAGAATTGAGAATGCAATCCAAAGTGGATTGAAGCATCCCTAGGAAAAAGCATGTAAGAACCAATTTCTTATTTTAATTAAAATGAATAATATAAATAATCATGATGATGACCCCATCACGTGCCTCTTGATGATCACGAGTCAACAAGGAAACACATCACATGAACAGCAAAGATGTAAACAATAGAGGGTTATGATGATGCTGATATGCATACCCTTTGACGGCCTCTCTGTCCAGAATCTGGTCCTCCACGTGGATCAATCCTCCAAACCCAATAATTGGGCTGTTACACAAACATAAAACTAAGGCAAATATCAATGAGAAATCTGAGAAAATGGAAAGTAAATACCATGCAACAACCATGTTCCGGTGGATGTCCTGTTTGTGTAACATGCATGGTGTAAGATACTCTTCCCCTTTGAGAAAGTATTGTTTTCTAATGATGAAAGCTCGAAACATGAAAGAGGTAATCAAGGTTTCCTTATACACAGAAGGTCACTTACCGTGGGTTGCGAATCTGGAGGGGGAACATTTACCGCAACCTGCCTGAAAAGGACACATAAGAGACGTCACTGAAGATTTTTTTTTCTTAATTTTTTTTTTTAAGAAAGTAGATGTCACCAAAGATTTCAATCCACAATAAGTAACTCTTTAGTATAAGCACACTAAGGTCATTGCGTACTGGCATATCTCGCATCTGTTGGAACCTCTAGTACGAAACCATAACTCTATGCAGGATTTATGAGCCTTTGCGAGTTCACCTCGGCATCGGCAACCCAGTTCCATCAGGGCTTCATCTGATGGCTGCTGACACACCCTGTTCAGAAGTATAAATCAGCAACCCTGTGTTCCTCTTTTTAAGTTATTCAAGCAAAGGAAATTAGATTTAAATGATTAGAAGGCAATAAAATTCCTCTCATGAAAAGAATTCAGGGCCACAAAAACCCCTTTACCGTTTTCTTTTGAGGAAACATAGCACTATTAAATTGGTATGTAAAACAGATACATATGAAAATTGGATCATACAATAAACTCTGTATAAATTTGGAAAGAGCATTCCCATTAACAAAAAAAAAGGAGAAACCTGCTCAGCCTAGAATAAGCAAGCAAAAGAAAGAAAACAATTTACAGATGGTTTTGTACTCCAAGGTGGATGGAGCACTGGAGATGTGTTGAGAGCTCCATGTTTAGCCAAGCCATCCACAGTGCTATTAGCCTCTTGCCAAGTATGACAAAAACTGGTGTTCAGCAAGGTACTAAGAAAAAAAATCTCTCTAAAATCTGATCCAGCCACCATGAGCAGATAGGTAGTCTATTCACCCAGTTGATGGTGTTTTTCCCTAACTTCTATCCAATAGCTTGAGATCTTGTAGAAGGCGACAAGCCTCCGCGATTGATGAGGTGGCAATGCCCACGGGCCCCCAAAAGGATGAGATTAGGGATCCCTAGCTATCCCTAAATATTCCTCTAACACCCACCCTTCCAAGGATTCACCATCAATTTTTAATTTGATTATGCCCTGTACTGGTGGTTGCCTAGTGTTTTCTACCAGATGTGGCTACATTATCCTAGTTCAGTATGAAGTCCAAGGTCGTGTAAGTTTTGAAACATTTAAGTTTTCTCACCCATTCTATCACCGTAGTTTTGATGCTCTTCATGACACTCGGAATGTACTTCCCCTTATCTTCAAAGGTCCTCCTGTTACATTGTAACCCATACATTTCCATAACAACTCAAGGGTCCAATATCAACCCTACCTTTGACAGAGGGTGAGAAATAGGCCTGAAAGAGTAGTTCAACGATTCCCAGCATTACCCAATCTGCCACAAAACGTCTGTAAATATAAGCTCCAAATGTACCCTGCAGTAGGTTAATGGAGGAAAATGTGGTCTACTGTCTCTTCACTATCTTTGCAAAGGATACATCGAGTCAGCCGTTCCTCATGCTTTCAGTTTCTTGGTTGGGGTACATCATTAATGCAAACAAATTTCTCCCTGCATCAGTCATCTCTCTCGGAAAAAAAAAAAACTGGGCAAATCTCCTCATGAGATGATACCCTGACTTTTGACAATATAGTTTGAAGTAATTGATCACTCTCCCCTTGATTTGATCCAATTTCATTGTTTTCTTGCATCTTGCTTAACAAACATAAATTGAATCCTTAGTTGCAGGATCTCATTCTATGTTAGACATGGTTTCCCTCACTTCTATATTTTAATTCATAATTGTCTAAGAGTCATGACTTTTGACTTATTCAATTGCCTTGTATATGTACGACATTATAACTAGTACATTTTATCTTGGTTTAGTCAACCCCAATTAATTGGGAAAAGGCCATGATGATGAAGATGACATTTTTATCTTGGTTAAAATTTTAAAATATGTTGAAAATGTTCCAAATGTAAGTTCGAATATTTTATGTTATGATAGCATATCAAATTTCTCCATATTATTTAATTTGCAACTTAAAATAATGATTTTTTGCATGCAATTTTTGTATATTGGTTGAAAAAAGTATAGTTGTTACTCCTCTTACAATGAATGGAAAACCAAAACTGAAGAAAAGAAGACTTGTCCTGAAAGACAAAGAACCTAAATAACAAAAGGGAATAGATGGAGGAGAATGCTGTTGTGTCTCTCTCAGTCGCTCTCACGATATATTCCTTGAAGCCTTCTCACAATTGTTTTTGAGGGCCTCTACATGGTCTTTGTTATAAGCATACGAGTTAGTTTTAAAACATTTAGAATGTTCTCAGTTTTTTATTTCTTTCAATGTGGATTTTTGTTAATATATTTTGTGTTCATATGGTCAGACTTTTGGGTTTCTTCATGAACACTACGTCAAAAAAAAGAAAAAGAAAAACAGAGTTTTGGGTTTCTTGAATTGCTTTTGTTTTCTTTTTGATAGATAACATATGTCAAGTTGTATGCTAGCGCAACCAAAGGTAAGTATTTTCGAAAGAAAACAGGAAAGGAAGTAATTAGAAGATGGATTTTCCAACTTCTTTTTCGATGGGTTACCTTTTCACTCCATTGTGGTCAAGGTTGAATTTTTGTTGAAACAACAATCTTGCTTTGTACTTGCATGATGCAATAAGAGGTTTAGAAGCTGCACCTTTGAAGTTTGTCCACTGTTAGAATCTTTTCATGTATAGTGATGCATCCAAACAGCTGGATTATGGTGAGCGCAGGAGGGACCCCGGCCCTATTGACCACCATTTTAGGCTTCATTCCCAAGAATATAATAGATAAGATGCTGAAGAGACTTGATGAGGCAGGGCTCCAAATGAATTTGTCCCTAGTGAACCCAGGCAAGGTAAAGATTTGAAGGGTACAAAGTAGCTTTTCTAATTCGAGTAGTTCAACATCATTGATATGGAGTCTGAATCTTGGGGTCCATACCTGGTGCCCCCTCAACTATGGAGCATGCTTGGTTAGGGGGCAGCAAGAACAGAGATGGGAACTGATTCGCAATGAAGTCTCCCAACCAGGTGTCTAGCCCAAACTAAATTTTTTCCTCACTTTTGGTAATAAGGGAACCTCTGTCGGAAAGGGAGTGTAAGCTGAGAGAGCTCCCATTCCATGCTGCCAACATACATGGGTTGGCATTAGGTATTTGCAGCATACAAGATTCATATGAACCATACTTCTGCTGGGTGACCTTCCTCCCCAGGTGGGTTTTCTTGGGCCACAAATCCTTGCCCAGCAAAAAGGTTTCGTATCTTCAAGAATCCAATACCCAAGCCCCCAGTTTCCGTGGACTTGCATACAATGGACCATTTCACTAAGTGCATCTTTTGGCTATCTTGTGCCCCCAACCATAAGAATTCCCTAATCATTTTCTCTAGTATATGGACTACTGACATTGGCATTCAAAAAGGCACAGATTACAGATCGGGATGCTTGAAAAGGTGGCTTTAAAGAGTGTAACTCTTCCCCCCAAAGATAAGTAGAAGCCTTTCCAGGAGACTAGTTGCCACTCAAACCTCTCAATGACGCCATCCCACTGGTGTATCCTGATTTCCTTATACACAGGTTACCAGAGGAATTCACCTAGCAACAATTCTACACCATAATCCAATCTAGCAGACAGATTCCACCAGGTTCCATTTTCCACCCGAATATCCATGAGATTCGTTTTTTGCATGTTGAGTTTGAAGCTCATCGCGAATTCAAACCCCGACATGTCGAGGCTACACTAGCTTTTTGACCCTAAGCAGTAGATATTTTAGACATGTCTTAGACACCAAGCACCGATGTCCATGTAACACTAATCATAACTCCCACAATCTTGGTTCTCTCTCTCTCTCTCTCTCTCTCTCTCTCTTCCTTTCCCACCTACAGCATGCTTCAAAACCCCTACAATGGTCGCTTTTCTCTTTGCTGAACTCACTCATCTCCATCACCTGAGCCCGGTACAAGTCTTAGGTGCCTGCACCACCATGCTCAAACTCAAGCAACTTCATTCCCATATTACCATGGCATGGCAAGTCTTTCAACCCCTTACCATAAGCGACTCTTAGCTTTCTACAGCATCTCAGACCATCGGAATCTTAACATCTCTACCCATATCAAAAGTTTAGCTCCATTTACGAATAGCACCATGATCAGTGGCTCTTCTCAGAGCCCTGAACCAGCAAAAGAATAATTAGATTTGACATTAATATAGATGCTAATTTTACCTACCGATGTACAAGGCTATCTGACCTTCATAATGAGAGCTGATCTTGATGTTTGATATATTTGTGCAGAATTCTGATAATTATTTATCCGTGCAGAATACTCTGATAAATAATCTCAAGCAACTCCTAGCCCCATGTCACCCTGGCTGGACAATCTTTCAACCCCTTCAGCATTAGCAAGTTCTTAGCTTTCTACCCCATCTCAGACAATGAGGATCTTGAAATCTCCACCCATTTCAAAACTCTAGTTCCACCATGATCAATGGCTTTTTCTCGAGCTCGGAAGCAGTAAAAGCTGTTGAAACCTTCAACCAAATGCCTAGATTTGACATTTATATAAACGCTAATTTCACCTACCTACGTGCAAGCCTACATGACCTTCAATTGGGTTTGAGCTTCATGCTCACATAATACGAGCTGATATTGATGTTTAATATATTTGTGCAGAATAATCTGATAAATAGGTATTGTCATTGTGATAAAATTCCTTTAACACATTAGATGTTGATATGAAACAAAATTCAGAGAGAGAGAGAGGTGGTTAGTTTTTTTTTTGGCTTGGGGGAGGGGGGGGGGGCGGAAATGGGTATGGTATTTATAATAGTAAAGGGATATTAAACACTCAAAATAAAAAAATAGTAGGTGGATATTGGAGAGGAGCCGAGGTTCTGGGGGAAATTGCGGGTAGAGAGTAAGAGAGGGAGAGAGAGACATAGAGGTGGGGGTGAGGTTTGAGATTTTGGGGTAAATGAAGAGAGATAAGAGACAGAGGTGCCAAATTCTGGAGTAACTAAAGAGAAATTAGAGAGGGAGAAGGTGGCAAGATGTTTGGCGTAACTGAAAGGGTAAATTTATAATATATATGTTGACCCCCCAATCTACCATATCGTGTGAGATATTTGGGAGGTAAGAAAAGGGTAAGAAGGAGAAGTCCCTCTCCCAAGTGAGGGGGGATCTTTCACTACAAAATGTTTTCAAGGGATTGCCATTTTCCCAGTTAAAAACTAAATATTGATTTATGGTAGGATTGAATCATCATTGTCAAAGCCTTTTCCCAACTAATTGGGATCGGTTACACAAATTTTGGTTCACCATTCTACTCTATTAAGGCCATACCCTCAGTGAAGCCATAAATCCCAATATCTTTTGTCACTACTTCCAACCATATCCTCTTTGGACCTACCCCTAGCCCTTTTTGAGCCTTTCACTTGAACTAACTTGCACCTCATAAGAAGTGTTGTACTGGGTCTGTACAACACATGTCCAGCCCACCAAAGTCTACTCTCTCTCATCTTATCGCCTATTGGTGGCACACCCCAATTTTCCCCAATGTATTCATTTTGAATTCTATTCCTTCTTGCCTTACCACTCATCCATCTCAACATCCTCATCTCCACTACACTTATTCTATGGGTATATTATTTTATGACCACCCAATATTCCACCATATAGAACAAAGATCATCCCACAACAGTCCTATAACACTTGCCCGTCACCTTCATTGTTATGAGGCAATCACATAAAATTCCAATTGCAAATGTCCACTTCGCCCACCCAATGCTAATTCTATGTGCAACATCTTCCCCAATCATTGTTCCAAAAGGTGGACTGCCTAGAGTCTAGGCAGCCTGCCCCTGGGCGACCGCCTAGGCCCTTGGGCACCCGCTAGGCGAGCCGTTCAGGGGCAGAAATGCCCCTCGTTGAGGGATATTTTCGGGTTCTTTTATAAAAATAAGAGGGGAAAACGATGGGTTTTAGGAGTATACATCCTTTCTTTCAAAATCTGAAAATATATTTTCCCACTAAACGATTTCATCTATTGGAAATAGAGCACCTTCTCATTTGTTTCCCAAGAGTTGAGTCATCAAAATCTTCTTCCTTAAGAGAAGATATCTAAAGGATAGTGATTTCCTCTTTGATGAATAGATACAAAAATAGTAAATTTGTTTGGCTTACTTTCATCATATAAATATATTGAATAATTATCCAGTACCAAGTACATATTGCCATTTTTTGGCGAAGTTTTTGTTCCACCATGCTTCACTGCAGGAAAAAGGGAGCCAAAGGAGTGAACTCCAATGGTGTACGTGAATTCAATGAATCTGATGCAAAACATATTCATTTACAAAGAAAAAATAAATGTAATAACGTATATAACATGAAACAAAGACTAAAAATGCCCTACAAGCTATAATATCATAACTGAAAATGTGACATCGCATTATATATCTGAAAAACAGTATAGATTACCATGGCAAGCACTGCAAATAACTTGCTGACATAACAATTAAATACTAAACTAAGCACACAAAACTTTAGCACCGGGGTATACATACTTTTAACCATACACCATACAAGGATATAACAAATCTATGACAAATGAGGAAAAGAAATCTATCTTTCACATTACACAAATTGAAAATGTCAAAATGATACTAATAAATCAAAAATTCAGAACTAGAACTAGGAAACACGAAGTTTTAGCAATAAAATATGTTTGTTTTTAATTTGTAAACACAATGTCAAATCCAATACTTTTATCCGAAAAGAAAAATAAACTTTTAATTTCAACTTTTTCCCACTTAAATGTTAAAAGAAAAAGTCAATTACATAGCCAAACGTACCACAAAAATTTCCTAACCATCAAAAATCTTCTGAACACATCAACGAAGAAAAAGCTCACCAGAAACTCCAAAATTATTGCCAATTGCGACATAAATCAGAGCATGGAATACGATGAGAGAAAACAACAAGTACCTGCACTGCTCACCATAGCTCTGGCTTCTCGAGTGGGCGACCTTTTTTGGTGATTTCTCATCCTTTTCATCCTTACAAATGTCCAACTTCACAATAGCAATAGTTTCCAACTGGTTATTATGAGAATCTCCTCCACCTGATATCAAAATATTAACTGCTGCAGGTGTTGAGGCCTCTGAAACTGAGACCTCTACACCAGAAGTGACCTGAACTCTCTCCAGCTCCACACGTGCCAGATCCGCAACATTCCCACAAGTGCCACCATTCTCATCTGACCGTTCATTACGCATCTGCGTTTTCCCTCCTCTATTCCAGCCCTTGCGCAAGGCTAGACCAGCTCCTTAACCAAACAATCACTGCATAAATGGGAAAGCAGATAAAAAACAGGAAAAAACACCAAATCACACCGGATTTATAAGAAAATAAGAGAAGACAAGGAGAAAAACATATATATCATATTTAGAAGATAAATTACGGTCTTTTAAGCAAAATTGAAGGAAAATCAATAACAAAAAAGGGATGAAAGAAATTAAAAATACAATTGCAAACCGAGCAATGGAAAGAAGGAAGCGAGAGAGATGCTACAGGGATGGAAGAAATTAAAAACATAATTGCAAAACAGACCAATGAAAGAAGGAAGGCAGAGAGATGTTACCAAAATGAGGAGAAATCCAGCAGGTGGAGCTGAGAAGGGAAGGATTCCGGCCAAATCTTCGGCAAAAAGTCCATTCGCCGGAAAATCACCGCTTCCGCTTCGGGGAAATGTCGGTCAGTTAGAGATAGTTAAAGATTGAAAATTTAGTAAGTCAGAGGAAAGTGAGGATTCAGACATCGGTTTCTTCTTAAAGGGAAAGGGTGGCCGGTGGCGGACCAAAGGGCATGTTTTCCTTCGTTTGACCTTTTCAAAAAGGTGCAGCCCTATCAAATTCCTAAAGGAAGATTGAGGTTTCTATAAAAGCTTACGCTTTATAAAAATAAAAATAAAGCCTCCCTTCAAATCTTCATCCTGACAGGCATTTTGATTGCGGAAATATATATGATGCTCTGAAATCAATTTACAAAATTGGTAATAAAATTTAAATTTAAAAAAATATAAAATCTTGTTAATTTACCAACATTTATTTTTAAGGCAGGATGAACGATCTAGATAATTTGTTATAAATTTAAATTTTTTTTACAATCATAATGTTCAAGTCAAGATAATAGATGTAAAATTGTTTCAATACTTGGATTGCAATTTTCAATGAGTTATGAAGTGAAGATTTATTTATTTTTTGATAGCGATATAACCCTATCAAATTATATATATATATATGTATATATATTTTTATTTTTTTTAAAAGGTTAAGTAAAAGAAAATTCACCCATATATATATTCTTTTTTATTTTATTTTATTTATTTATTTATTTTAAAAAGGTTAAGTAAAAGAAAATTCACCCACACAAAAGAGAGGGGTCGAGTTTTTTTTTTTTTTTTTTTTTTAAAAGGTTAAGTAAAAGAAAAAAGAGCGGTCGAGACATCAGCTTCTTCTTAAAGGAAAACAGTGACAGGCGGCGGTCCAAAGGGTGTGTTTTCCTTTATTTGACCTTTTAACAAAGGAAAATAGTTTGATAGGGCTGCAACCCCTATCAAATTCAGTAAAGAAAACGGGCCGGTAGCGTTCCAAAGAGGGTGTGTTTTTCTTTGTTTGACCTTCTAACAAACGAAAATAGTTGATAGGGCTACAAAACAAGTAAATAACCACCTTATAATTCATTAAAAATGACAAGTCCAATATTGGAAAAGCTTAATGGTTGTAAAAAAAAATTTCAAGCTTTAAAATTAAAAGTATATTATAACAGATTATCTAGACAGACTTTTTTACCTTTAAAATAAGGGTTTACATATTCGCAAGATTTTATACTTTTTAATTTTAGATTTTATTGCCAGTGTTAGAAATTAATTTTAGAGCCATCATTGCTTAAAGTCCTTGCCAGATGAAGATTTAAGATGAAGCTTTATTTTGTTTTCATAAACCCTAACCTTTATAAAAACTTCATCCTTTCATAAATGGGAAAAGTTTATA